GTGGAAAAACAGTTGCAATAATACCTTTAGAGTGCCTCTTTAGCCTTGGTCAGTTTTCTCTGAGTGTGCCACCTTGTGGAGCATACTGGGATATAGCAACAAGAAAATCCCACACTGAATTTTAATAGACTTCTGCCCCAACCAAACTAAACCAACTCCAAGTTACCTTCCATTTCCACCACTTTAATTTGGAAATGTCGTAATAGCATTTCTGCAAGCTCTTGAGGAAGAGCCTGCATTTATTCTCAGGTGGCTATTTTCTTGGGGGCCAGAGAACCAGATCACAGACACTGGATTTAACTTGCTGAAAACCCTAGCCGAAACATCAGAAAGAGGCAATTCAGTACTTCATTAGAAAAATTCAAAAAAGCAAATAGAGGAAAACAGTTAAAAAAAAATTGAGCCTGGCTGGTGGTGGAGCATGGAGGCAGGTGGATCTCTGTGAGTTTGAGGCCATCCTTGTCTACAGAGCTACAGCCAGAGCTACAGGAAGAAATGTTGTCTTGAAAGACAAAACAAAACAAAAATTAAACCCCTCTCTTTCAGAAGACAGTAGGGCAAAAGGATAGTTTTGGCTTATTTCCTTAAAACAAAACAAAAACAAAACACAAAACCAAACCAAAAGGCAAACTAAATTAGATATGCTTGAGATATGCAAACTAGCATTGGCAGGAGGCTGTAGGCACCAGGCCAGCCTGGCTTGTATAATTAGTATAGGCTTGCATAACCCCCTCCATTGAAAGGAAGCTGGTAGAAGATGAAGGTGCTGTGTTCTCATGCATTTGAGGGACTACTAATCATTCAAGGACCTACACCTTGCATTCAAGGACCTACACCTTGCATCAGGTTTTTGGTAGCATAAGGCTCTTTGATTGTGGAGAATGAACACAGAACACCTTCCTAGCTATGTACCCAGATGTAAGGATGCATATGATAAAGGTTTTTTGGATAAGGCTTATAAGATGTCCATTCTCTCCAGCATAGGAGGAAAATGCCATTTTCATTTTCACAGTGGATATTCTTAGGCATGCATATACAGCAAAAAAAGCTTCAGACAGCTGCTCTCTTCCTTTGAAACAAGGAACACCAATGATTCTGAGCATCTCCACGAAATTTGTGGTTTTCTGACATGCCAAGTCCATAAGTGCTAGACGATGTCAAAAATCTTTCCTCAGAACATACTTAAAGACAAAAGTATATCATTCTAAAATGTGTGCAAGTTTGAAAACACCCTTTGAATATCCTGTGTTTGTTCCATTTTGTAAATTTTAAAGGTCTAAAAAAATTCATACGGTATCTTTATTTTCATGTTACAATGTAAAAGCATGCTTTCTTCAGCAGGCTATCAATATGTGCTAACACAGGTAGTCACAGTGGTGTGGAAAATTAATGCTATCCTTACTGGATCCAACTGTGCATGAAAAGTGTGCTTTCAGAAAATGTGAGACATTTGGTGCTTATAAAAGATAGTCAGCTGGGTGTGGGGGTGCATACCTTTACTCCCTGCAATCTGGAGGCAGAGGCAAGCGGAGTTACTTGAGTTCTCGAGGCCAGCATGCTATATAAAGCGTGTTCCAGGACAGCTATGGCTACATAGAGAAACCCTGCTAGGGCCGGGGGTGGATGTCAAGTTCTCTCAAAAAAGCAGTTCTTTGGACAGAAGGCTTAGTACAACTATGATGTTAGAAAATTTACATGATTTAACTCCCATGATGAGAATGGTTGTAACTGACTTTAGCAGGCACAGCTTTTAAGAAAAGCGGCTATGGTTACTTAAAAAAAAAAAAAATCCAGGACATGCTTTAAAGTTCAAGCTATTTGGTGCTATTGACTTCCACAAACAAGTTGGCTAGCATCCCATTCCAGAGCCAACTGCACACCTTCCCACTTAAAGGGAAGTACTGTGTTGGAGATAGCAACACCGAGTGTATCCCAGAATTTTCATTTTCACTAAAAATGACCATGTGGAGACTCAATTTTTAAGTGAGGACTTCTGAGCTGGTTTCAGTAAATCACCTGGGGCAACATTCATATCTGCTATTCCTTGAGTGGGCCCTGAGAGAAAATCGTGAGAAGCTGGGGAAAGGAATGATCCCAAGCTAATTAAACAGCTTCTCTGCTGCTTGAGTGCCCATCTTCTTCAAAGAGGGACAAAGTGGGAGGCTGCAGCCCACTGGGTGCTCATGACTGTGTTCCTAAGGGTGGGCGTGGCGGCTGGACCACAAGATAGCTTGTGAACCTATGGGGACACTTGGAAAACCTTTTTTGTTTTTGAAGAGGATGTTAGAAACTCCAATCAGTCCTGCAAAAACGGCCCTTGGTACCAAACCCTGAAGAGAAGTGAATAGGCACATTCTTATACTATCCCTACTGTAATTCCAACCCTGTTATTCCTTACTAACAGCTGTTTTAACAGAACCCTGGGACAGAGGGTGAGCCCTAGTCACTAAGCCTTTATTCTTCTTTATGTTTCCATGAGCTACCGAGGGCCTGAGTGCAAAGGCTCCTTGTGTGGAACCTGGTTGCACAAGTGTGAGCCTTATGGAGGGACACACAAAGGAGGAGCTGGGCAGCCATGTGACATCCATGCCTGTTCTGTGCCGTCCTGGCACAATATGCCAAGTTTCTAATACCAAAATGCTTGTGATTTAAAAAATACCACTTAAAGCAGGGCAGTGGTGGCGCACACCTTTAGTCCCAGCACTCAGGAGGCAGAAGCAGGCGGATCTCTGTGAGTTCAAGGCCAGCCTGCTCTACATAATGAGTTCCAGGATGGCCAGAGCTACAGAGAGAAACCCTGTCTCAACACCCTCCAAAATATCCCCACAGAAACAAAAAACCAACAAAACTAACCAAAATAACAAAAGCAACGCAAAAAAAAACCCCTCAAAATGACCTACTTAGAAATAAGCCCAAAACATGACAACAATGAAGTTGAACTTCATTATTCTAAAGAATGCCAAAAGATTCCAGTTTAAGACAGCTGTATTTTCCTTGAACAAAGTTAAGGGGGAGGAGGGAACACCTTTTTCTTTTTCAAAAGCAAAGCCCTCAAAATTATTTTCATTTTGTCACATGGATGCTAATCCAAAATGGAGTAGGCTAGACCATGATGAAGTGACTTTTATGTTCGATTTCTAGGCGCCAGGAAAAGCCTGCATTTCAAACCCCGTTCAAAGGCAAGGCAGAACTCACTGTCCTGGTGAGACCTAGGGGAGACTTTGATGCTCTGAGCCTACCTTGAGCTTTGACAGCACTGACAAACCACCCAGGGCTGTAACAATGAAGCTCACAGTAGAACATCCTCACAGTCTAGCTTTCTTTTTAAATTCTGCTTTTGAAAAAAAAAATCCTGTTTCTCAAGATAATGAATCAGAAGACCATACAAAGCTCTCAGGAAGGGCATCTAACCTCTCCTCTATTCAAGACAATCACATGTATTATTCAGCTACAAAGACTTCAGTAAGGCTTCAGAATACATAAACACCATCTGAAACCTGTCCTACTGTGTGAAACATCATCCATTCTTTCCATGTTCTACACTGAAACATGACCTAGCTTCTACTTACATGCACCCCAAACACGGTTCAAAACACAGCTAACCTTTCCCAAAGTGGCTTTCTATGCCTTCTAGTTACTAGTGCACTAAACCTGAGGATAAGGCAAGAGTGGTGTGAATATAAAGGACAGAGAGAACAGCAAGGTACAGTTGTTTGTAATGCCCAGGCCAGGCTGGCTCTGCACAAAGCAGGGCTGAGCACAAGGCACTAGAAAAAGAACATTCTGGAGAGGGAGAGCTAGGGCCCTTTAGAGAGTACAGCTATCTCTAAAAGAGAGGGAAAAACATTCACCCTCCCAGACATACACTGACAATATACTCTATAAAAATGTAAAACACTAAGCGACAGTTGATAGCAATCTATATGCTGATGACACAGAACCAGTATTCTATATTCCCTAAGTGACCTCCGCGATGTCAGGCAGGAAGACTACACTGGAGAATGTGTAGGGGATCCTGTTAGGATTGCAGAATTGGGGCCATGAGCCGTAAACAAGGCCATCTACAAAGCATTCAGTGAGAGACAGGAAGCAGGTGTGGTGTGGGGGGCAGGTAGGCAATCTGTCATTCCTTAGGTGATGTTGGGAACACACACTAGAGGTGCTGGCAATGGAGAGGGTGGGCACTTCACAAACAAGGCAGAACATGGCAAATGCACGGTGGAAAGTACGGGGTAGTAGGTGGAGAGAACCAAATGCAATTCCTGTCTCTAGTCAGAATCATCTCCAAATCAGAGCTGGAAGCGATTCCCTAAAACAAAGAACAAAATAAGAAACACAAAGGAAATAGTAACATTTCAAACCAGGAAATATAGGCTTTCTCCATCTTTAAAACCTATTTGAGGTACACTCCCTAAGTCTATTATAAGTACTAAAATGCTTATAGGGCCTTTTCCAAAAGAAACAATTAAGTATTGTATTATATAGGACTCAGGACAACTAAATTCAGCTTCCCAAGGAGCAAAATAGAAGAATGCATGCTTACAGAAGGTTTCTTAAAAGATTCTAGGGCCTTTTTCTCCCCCTTTCTTTCTCATTTTTTATGGTTGTCTAAAACTTTATCATTTACTGCTAGCGAAAGCTTCTGGACAGAAAGGAGATGCTAAGGACACAGGGTTAGCTGGAGCAGACTACGCTGGTGAATCACCATCACTGAACAAGCCCTTGATCCTATCAGTCACCTTAGTCTTTACAATTCAATTATTCCTGTCATCTACAAAAAGTAACACTTCACGAGATCAGGGATCTCTCTCATACACTCACAAGTACCAAAGCAGGCCCAGCAGCTGCAGAGATTACATCCTAACTCGGCTGGGCCTGGATTACCATCCAACACTGGCAGCATTCAAGGTTAGAAAATGAAATGGCAGCACAATTGGTCAGCAGCATCTCTTCTTCTGGAAGTTTTCCAGGTTCTCAAAACAGACAGACAGACAAACAAGTGAACAAACATAAAGCTGCAATCACTCTTGCATTGATTTCTGAACAGTAAACTAGGTGGTTTCCTTGGTGAAGCAGAGCGCATCCAGAAGCCAGCAGCTGGAAGGCCCGCAGCCAGCCATTAACTGCTCTGCAAGGCTGGCTTAGGGGACTCGTCAGCCATCATGTTTCGATGACCAGCTCACGGCATCCCCGGCGAACCTCAGGCTGTGTTCAGCTCTGAGGTGTTCTGGCTGGATGACAGGTGGGTGTGCAGGTTGTCCTTGTACCTCTCCAGGTCTTGGAAGTATGGGTGACTCAGGGCGCCATAGGCAGATATTCTTTTAGCTGGATTAAATGTCAAGCATTTCTGCAATAAAGAAAACATCTCATCGGAAACATATCAAAGTAAATAACATGCTTGTGCATTGGACCTTGGGGGAAGTCCTAGAAAAGGTGGCCTCTAAATGTTCTGTTCTGCTTTAGGAATAAAGTCACCAGCATGACAATGAACTAAAACACCATGAACAATAAATACTGCTTCTGTTAAGAAGATTTAATTTGATTGCCAAACAATTGGCTTAAAAATTACCTTGTAAGCCGAGTGGTGGTGGCGCATGCCTTTAGTCCCCGCACTTGGGAGGCAGAGGCAGGCAGATGTCTGTGAGTTCGAGACCAGCCTGGTCTACAAGAGCTAGTTCCAGGACAGGCTCCAAAGCCACAAAAACCATAATAATAATAATAATAATAATGATAATGATAATAATAATAATAATAATAATAATAATAAATTATCTTGTAGAATCACAACCTTTTCAAGGGTTGAATACTTTGGTGGACTGGGAGGAACATCTTTATAATTATTCAAGTTGCCCTTGACCTAGGCCTTCAGGGATATCAGCGTTTCTTCTGCTTCCATGAGAAAAACATGGCAGGACCCGGTTGCCTCTCTGGCCTGGGTGGCAGAATGAGAAAGATACATGGGGGAGGCATTGATCCACAGTCGGAATCAGGTAATAGGGGCTCTTAATTCAGGAAGGTAAGAACAGACTTCTTACTCACAGAGCTCTGATAACAAAAAGAAGGGCCTTCTGTGTCCCCAAGGGCAGGACAGTATACACAACATCAATAATTAGGAGTTTGAGAGTATGAAAGTACTTAATCTTATTTTTTTAAAAAGTTCATTTTAAGTATGTGTATATTTGTGTCTATGTGTGGGAATGTGTACTGGAGTACAGGGTCTGTGGAGGTCAAAAGAGAGCTTCACTGGAGTTGGAGTTACAAGCTGTTGTAAGCTGTCTGATGTGGGAGCTGGGAACTGAATCCAGGTCCTCTGCAAAAGCTGTGCATAGTCTTAAGAACTGAAACATCTCTCCAGCACCAGTGGGCTATTTTATATGTGCATGCTACACTAAATGCTTACTAAATGAATCAATAGCTAGGAGTATTGTTGCACGGTTGCTTTGGGAAAACATTTTCACAGATGTGATGATCAAGTTGCTTCAGGGACCATGGGACTTTAAGCAGGGGCACATATTTGCTTGTCAAGAAGCGTATGCCCAAGGAATCCAGAGTCTTATAATGCTGCACCCAAATACACACTCAAAACATGGTGTTAAGAGATGGAATAGAGAAGACATCCCAGAATGAAAAAAACCCCAGCTGGGAATACAATCCACTGTTTGTCATACAGTTTCAATGGGCACAGGCCAACTGTATCCCGGGAACTTACCAGAAGTAGATCTTTGCCAAGTTCATCAATATCTGTCACGAATTTCTCGATGGGTTGGGCAGATTTGGAATGGAAAGCCTGCCTGGGAAGGGCAACATCCCTGGGCCAGTCTTCTTCCCCCGGAAGTCCAATCACACTACAGAAGAATCAGATGTGAATGAGAACACTCCAGCCATTGGTAAGGCGTCTCACCAAATCCCAAAGCAGCCAAACCCCACGAAGCAGGCACAGTGGACAGAAGGCTCCACAAGACCTCACCCCGTAACGGAAAGCATTTCTCATTTATACTACTGCCAATCTCAGACGTCACTACAAAGTTCACTGCCAGGAAGCATGCAATGTCCCTGGCATCATGTGGATGAGACTTGTGAAGCCAGGCATAAGTCCTGGTGTGGTGACGAGGCAGGGCCTGCTGTTCTGGGACAGCCACCTAGATCTCCAGTATCCTCTTCCACGCCTGATGAGTCTTTGGGTTTGGATGGAACAACTCTGTGAAGGCATGTTTGCACAGTGCCCACCCAGCATGCTTATTACCACATTACTTTGGCCAAGTTTATAAATTAAGGAGTAGTTTTCTAAATGATTACATAAATTAGACTAAAAGAAAAAATAAGGTTTAAAAAGTATGTTGGTCCTATCTTATGCAAGCACCATTCAGTGGTATTCCCAAGTGAGACAGAGTCAATGAAAAGGCTATCATTTGGGTTTCCGTTGACAACTGTTCTGGGATCAGAAATTCAGAGGGAATAGCAAGCCATAAGAAAAGCACAGGCAGATGTGGCTTCAAATCCAGGACCTGCTCTTAACTGACATGTAAGGACAAATTAGGTGACAACCACGAGCTTTGGTGTTTGTATGTATGTGACAGTGGCAATTTATGGTTACACGAGGGTTGGCAGTAATTTATTGAAGCTGCATACTACTGTGCTTGGGACACAGTATATGCAGCCAATGTCCATTTGTTACTCATTATTGGTAGGCTGGTGGCCCCATATAATTTATCCACATGTAGTATTATTTCTAGTTTATACACATGTGGTTAAGTGTATTTGGACAATATACAGACTCTGAGTAACTCTGAACTAAAAAACAAAAACATAATTTAGTGGACAGGGTACATAGTTGATACTGACCCAGACTATTTTAACTTTAGTTAGAAATGGCGCTGGCTTGTAATGAAGTCCCAGTCTTACTCTCTGCAGCATAGGACCACTATGCTGCAGATGATGTGGCCACAACATCTTTCAGGAAGACAAGTGGTACCTATAGACAGGACCTATAGACTTTGTCACTGTTCCCTTTCCAGGTCACAGACCTCCCTGAGAAGGGCAGATTCCCTACCATCAGTGTACAAGTCACCAGGCAGGAAGAAAAGACACTAACCCTGTCCCCCCAGGCACTGGCAGAGAGCCACATAAAGGCAGACTCATGGACACACTGGAATCGATGTTGCTCAGGACTTGAGCAACATACAAGTGTGTTCAATGGCAGGGGCTACAGTGTGAGTAACAAAGGGGTAAGAGCATCACTGTACCTGTGAAAGGACACATAGGGATGTGTGAGCAGAATGAGCTATGGCAGCAGAGGAAAGGAATACTCATTATATGCAGTTTGAGACGTCTACCCATTCCCAGCCCTTTCACACCAGGGCTTTTGTACATCATCGGCAGTTACCTAGAGATGGGTTATAGAGATGCTTAGATTTAAATTATTTTATTGGCAGCATTTTTTTAAAGATAGTGTTTCACTGTGTAGCCTAGGCTGGCCTCAAACTCACAACCCTCTTGTCTCAGCTTCCTGAGTATTATTAGCAGCTTTGAACATAACTATAGATTTGAAATCTTATGATGTATATGCATACATAATACATACACAAGAATGCCTGCCGAGGTCACTCAGGCCTCCTTACTTCATATCCAGTATTTTATTTCTATTTAGCTAGGCTACCACTCTTAGGATGCTCTAAATGTGTGACCTAACACCACTGTCTTACTTCTGAAGCACTCAATGTTCTCTGAAAATAGACATCTGTCTACAGCTTACCTTATTAAGAGTGTGAGAATACAACTGTCCTTAAAACAGATGAACTTTGTGTCCAGTAAGAACTGTCATGGCCCATAATGGGCATCATGAAATTGTGACAAGTTCACTGGAAAAGGCTTGTGTCGTATTTCACTGTTTGGACAGCTGAGTAGAAGCTGCAAAGGCTGACATTTACACTGGAAAGACTGACGGGGCACAGAACCTATCAACGGTTGTGGTGCATAGGGTAGAAATATTTTCTCAAGTGGTTCAGCAGTGACACTAGGGTGCAGCATTGTCCCTTTTCTGTTGGAAGGACCATTCAGAATAATGAAGCAAAGCCACAAACCAAGAAGTAAAATCTAAAGGCACAAAACATACAAGGTTTCGTGGCTGCTTCTCTCCTGGCCACGTGGGAGTGCCAGGCCTTGGCCAAAAGTCGACTAGGCTTTCCCACAGGACAAGCCAAACGTCCCTTTTGGCCTAGTGCATTGGCTCTGTGGTCTAAGAGTATACGCAGTGCTACAGGTCTGTATGTAGGCTGCCCTGGGAGTGGCCAGGAATCCCAGGAGGAGTAAGAAAGGGAGGGCAGGTGATGACCTCCAGGGCCCAGCAGGCAGATTCAATCAAGACTACCTTTCCTTTCAAAGGAGAATACTAGAATGTTTACTTTCCTGGGTCCCCCTCGAAGATCCCATGCACACAAAACACATTCCACAGTCCCAGGGGAAAGACATGAGTCCAGAAATGAAGGAGGGGAGCTTGCCATGCAAAGGCAGGGCAACAAAAGGACTTGGAGGAGAATGCGTCCATTTTGCAGGATTGTCAGCAGATGCTGTACTGGAGGCTGCCCAGGCCCCGGGAAGTCCCCAGACAAGATCAGACCAGACCAAAACAACAATAACAAAGTAAACTACCCAACACAAATCAAAGGCAGCAAGTGTTCTTTCAGCTTCAAAGCAGGAAGGGCTTCCAGTTCCCCAAAGAATCGAGTCATTAGCTTTGAGGTAAATTCCATGTTTGAAGCAATCACACTTAAATAGACAATTCTATAGGGACATTTTGTTTGTTTGTTTGTTTGTTTTTTTGTATGGGAGGGTCTTATAGATTTGAAATTCCAGAAAAGTCACTTGAGATTGAGATCCACAAAAAAACGTTACCAACCAATGATGGTGGTGATTTTTAACCAGGGTCCCTACATGATTGCCATCCGACCTCACTTGGTGTGGGGCTCGGCAAAAGCACACTTCCAAAAAGGATGCCACCCAGCATGCCTCGTGGGAAGAAAGGCTCCAGTTACATTCTAGCGACATGAGAGCATGCACAGCCTCACACGCACAAACATGTAGGCACGAATGGAGTTTGCAAATCGTCCCAGAGCGATGGAGCAAATGAACAGGAAGCAAGGAGCGAGCTGGAGAACCTGAAAGCCGGTTCCATTTCTCAGGTGAAAAAAGGGAAAAGGGCTAAATCAGCAACCAGGAGCTGGGCGTGGTGCAGTAAACCCACCGTAGAGTGCTTCATGCAACTTCTCACTTACACAATTATGCAGCCCCGGACTAAGATGAGAACCTAGGACTCTCATTCCCTATTTTGGTGTCGTGAGGGAAAATGCCACCGAGTAGCATTTTTGTCCCTGACTTGGGAATGCAAGGCAAAATCAACTCTCATTGAGAAACTCTCAATGGGAACAGGGTGCCTAGTTGGAGAGGCTGGGATCCTAAGCCACCAAGTGTCCCGTCTCTTATGAGAGGTAAATTTGATGTGACTATGGAGCTGGCACTCAGAGCTCAGCCAAGCGTGGAGAAGCAGCAAAGACCCACCCAGACAACACAGGAGAAGCAGAGCCCAGCAGGCTCCGCGCCACGCCCGGCCCTGTGTGAGGCAGTCCCTCCACTCTGTCCCCACTCACCACACCAACTAGTAAGACTACAGCAGCAGCTTGAGGCAAGAAAGATAAGAGAGAGACAAGAACATCAGAGGAAGTCACTGCGAATGCTTCGTGTGACGTAAGACTATCATTATTACTTACTCTAAGATTTTTCCTAGTTGGTCCACATCCGAACTTCCACGAAAAAGAGGCCTAGAAGGATAAAAGACACATCTTAAAAGCAGGTACGTCCTGAAGTCACACTGCAATCATTGTCATTGTCACTGTTCAGAGGAAAGCCAACCATTCTTTACTGATGGGAAACTGACCGTCCCACTCCGGCCAAGGAAGGCTTTCCATGCATTCCTCTTACGACAGGGACACTCCTGGTGGCTGTTGACTTTCATAACCATGTACTGTGCTTGCTGCCATCGCAACCGCAAAGCTACCACGACCTACAAGCCCAGGTTTTAAAGCTCAGTTTAACTGGCCAGAGGGTGGAGCCCATCTTGGTTGGAGCCTTCCACTACAGGCCTTGGGGGCCCCCGAGGCTGTCCTCAGAGTGCCTTTCACACCACACCACTGGGCACTTCTTTCTGTGTGTGCCTCTCTCCTGTTTGTCCTGGATCCTGAAGTGCACCTCTGCTGGGTCTCTTTTCTTAATTATGCCCCTTCCCTTTCTCGTACTTTTATAGCGGCTAACCATCACATGTTCAAAAATCTTAGCTCTGGGCTTGAGAGGCAGCCGTGTCCCCTTCTGAACTCAAAGCCTTCCTTATCTACAGCAACCATTTCACTGGCAGTGAAATAAGCTCCCTTTGTGACCTTTCTGGTGTTTTCCCAAGTAGACCAAATAGTCCTTTGAGGGTGGGGACGTCTCTAGGTTTCCCCATAAGTCTTGTCCTAATACTTTCCCCTAATTGACACACACACACACACACTCTTTAATAGCTTTTGTTGTTGTTTATACCCACAGAACACATTAAATCTTTCTCAACTCCTTGTTCAGTGAATGTCATAAGCAGCTACTTTTTTCCCTTTTGTTTTTTTGTTTATTTTTGAGTCAGCCTTATTCCAAACCCCACTCTGGCCTAGAATTCATTATGTGGACTCAAGGTAGCAGCAAACTCATCATCCTGCTGCCTCAGCTTCTCTAGTGTCAAATCACTACAACTGGCTCTATTAATATCAACCTACTTAAAATATTTATGGGTTATTATCAAGAACTGCATTCCTCATTATATTAGATAACAAATTATAGTGTGTGTGTGTGTGTGTGTGTGTGTGTGTGTGTGTGTGTGTGTGTTTGTGTTTGGCTGCTGGCCTCAAACTCATGGCTACAAACTCAGGGCCACACTTGTAGAAAATGAGCATTCTATTACTGAGGCAGCCACCTTCCCAGCTCTTAGAAAAGTCTCTAAAACAGCAAAGCAAAAAGCCATAAAACAAACAAAAACCAAACCAAACCTACCAACTAACCAACCAAACAAAAAACAACCCAAGAAATTATGGACTCTTAGCAGCTATCTTTTACAGAGTGTGAATATTGTAACTAGCACATCTCCAAGTGTTCACCAAACAGGGCATCATTTAATTTTCATAAAAACTCCAGGAGCAATGAAGTATTACCATCACCACAGATGAGGAATCAGGACCAACAGTCGATATGTGACATGGCTTTGCCACCGTGCCTGTGCTGTGCACTTCACAGTTATGTGGAAACACATTTATTTTCATTATTAATGTTCTCTTAGCTCAGTTCTCTGCAGCTGAAGCCACTGGGGAAAAGCAGTACGGGACTCTGGGAAGGGGCACTTCAGAGTCTTAGTATTTCACAAGCTAGTGCTGTGGGGATCCTGTAGCCAGACTGTTTTCTGAACGTCTTTAAATTCTGTTCTACTTCGACAAGGAACAAAGCAACCCACCAGCATAATGGTGCTGTATCCTTTGCAAACTCACTCAACTGTGGGTGCTAGGGTCTGAGTGTGGGGCTTTGGGTGGGGGCTCTGTCTCCATGAATGGGAATGGAGATTTAAGAAGTGGAAGGATGTGTCCTGTCCTGCCCGCCTTGTGAGGAGGCAGGCAACCTTCACTGGACACAGGACCCAGTGGCATCTTCATTTGGTTTCTCAGCTTAAAGAACCACACACAATACACTTCTGTTGTTTATAAATACCACCCAGTGTAAGGGTTCATTTACAATCATGAAACAGACTAAGACAATGATCCTTTTGGATTCTTAAATATCTGCTCCCAGGCCCAATCTTTTTGCTCATACTAAAAATTTAACTTCCAAAGTACCGAATATACATATTTTAGAAACAATATTTCCCTTTCTTTACACTCAGATGTTCACTAAGTATCAGAGTAAATCATGAAAACCATAAAAACAAAGTCAAAATGACATTCTGGGGTGTAGGAATACATAACTGACCATCCCTACTGTTAAACATGTTTTAAAAGGCTTGAGGATACCAGGTGAACCAAGTTTATACGCAGAGGAAGGAGTATCAACTAACCCAGTGAGCTGGCTATCTGGCTATGTAACTGTGCTAGCTGCATGAGCTCTCATGTACATGGTAGCCACAGAAGCTGGTGAGAAATTACTTTTGAGTATCACAGAACAGCTTAACGTCAATACTCTGGCCTCAGCTATTGAGAAACAAGCAAATGGGCTATCTTGAATGGATGCTTTACCTAGGCAAAGATCTTTCTCTTGTTCTGGGGTATATGTCTTAGTAATTCCCAGAGCTAGAACAGACCCATAAACCAGAGAAGGGTCATAGAAACAACAGAGACGGATCTCTCTTAGCTTGAGAGGATGGGGAGCAAGCGAGGACCCACTTCTGTTTTGTAAAATGGCATGGCACCTATCGACCTATCTCAGTGAGGGCTCCAGCCTCCTAACCTAGTGGCCTACTCTGAAGTTACGATGTTTTCAGCACACAGGTCTTGGGGGACGGTGGCTCAGCACTAGTCATGGAAACACAGCCCTGTACTCAGCTGTACAGGGGCTCAAGTCCTTACTGCCTGGGTTTTTGACTCTTCTATCCTGGAAAAGTTTTCCATGACATCTTTGAACAGATGCCCATTATACCGCTGGGTGTTCCAGCATGGGTGGCCCAGACCCATCTATTCTGCTATCGGGGTTATCTCTACTTACAGGATGGAACGTACTTTGCCATCTTTACATCAGTTCTTGGGCTTTAGGTACAGCCTTTGTGTTCTGGGAACACTCAGATGATGTCGTCTGTGGAGAGTGAAATCTCTCCGATGCTGCAATTCAGGGTACAGGTCAGAAAGAGTGTCATTGCCCTGGGGAAACCTGGTGTGTGGCTCTGAGCTTGGTCGCTTGGCTTTGCAGCAGTTATGCTCTGGCTTGAGTTACACTGAGCCACTGAGCTGTGAGTGTATGCGGTAAAATGTCAGCTGCCAGTACAATGGTTCCTCGCATACAAGTACATAGACAAATGACAATAAAATGGGTTACATGGTAGAGGGAAGAGGCTAAGCAGCTGACTATAAATGTGTTGAAAAATTTAGAGCAATTTAATTTCTAGAAAATTCTGAACAGTTCATATGAGCTGGTTTAAGTCTACAGGAGAACAAGAATAAAATGCTTTCATCACAGGCTAGAGATGGCTCAGTGATTAAGAGCACTTGCTGCTCTTCCAGAGGACCTGGGTTCAATTCCCAGCACCCACAAGAAAGCTCACGATTCTCTGTAACTCCAGCTCCAGGGGATCCAACACCCTCATACAGACACCAACGCACATAAAACAAAAATCTTACAAAAAATGCTCTCACCATGTAAGAGAGCTACAGAGAACTCAGGACACGATCTGTCTCTGATGTTCTTAAATTGAAAACAATCTCAGAGGTCAGCTTGTGCATTGTGAGGAGACAAGAAGGGATGCAGGTCGACTTAGGTCAGTTTTATTAAGTCTCCTCTACTATGTCAGGCATCCTCAAACCTCACAACTTAGGTCAAGGTAAACATGTCTCATGTTTTAGGCAAGTACGGATGTGTGTGTGTGTGTGTGTGTGTGTGTGTGTGTGTGTGTGTGTGTCTGTCTGTGTCCCTGCGGAACCGAACTCCCTGCATGTTACCACCACCGTCACTGTGTCTATATCCAGCCTCACGGGACAGAGACTGACTTTAGATTAAGATTTTTGGGTTAGTATTATGGGGAGGAAATGAGGTGAACTTGGCTGGGCCTTTATTTCTGACATAGAAAGCAGAGGGCTGAAGGAGCAAATACGTAGGGTGACAGAATGCAGAGGTGGCAAGGCAAAGACAAACCAAATGAGCCCCATGCTACCCCAAGTTCAATTTCAGCCCCCTGCCTGAGAAGAGACCTGTGTGTCCCAGAACTTCCACGGAGCCTCAGAGAGGCCCTACCTGAAGAACGAAGACGGACAGGGATGCTCGATGGCACCCAGTGTAAAACAAAGGCACCAAGAGAAAGGAAATGACATACGTTCTTCTTTTTTTAAAGGAACCACAGAGCAAAACCATTTTGTCTTTTTTTTCTTTCTTCTGGGTCACATATCTGCTAATACTTTAAAATTTATTATTTAAAGATAAGATCAACAATGGAAATACTCTGTTGAAAGTAGCAAATCTGCACACTGGCTTTTTTTTTCCCCCCAAATATATTTCTTCCATACACATTTTTTTTTCCTGGTTAAGTAATAAAAAACAAACATAAATGTTTTCAAAATTAACACATAAGGAAAAAAATAATTTATTATTACATAGGGCATTACCAAAGCTCATGCATTTTATAATTTCATTATTAGTATCACAATCTAAAATCACACTAGACGACGTTCCAATAGTTTACACACTCCCTTACATAACAGCGCCATGCCCTTCTGCTAAAGGCAACTGCTGGCTCTGCCTTTCACAAGGCCATTTCTAAGTTTATGTCTGCTTGTCCTATCACCTAACTTCGGATACTTCTTTTGCTTTATAAGATTGTTTCTATACTCACTTCCTTCTCGTTTTAAAAGCAGTTTTAACACTATTTGTTAGACATTCAATCTGCTAAATATGCAAGTGAACACAGCATGAAGCTAACTTCAAGTGCTTTGGAAGTATCACTTAGTGTTTCTAAGGTTGACGCTTACTTTCATATTGTAACCTGTGTCCTATGGGAGATCACTGAACATTTACACTTAATCAACCAGATGAGCTTCACATGGGTCTT